ATCTAGGTTTGCCCACCTGGTCTCACAGGAGAAATACCATTAAACCACAGTGAAGCTATATTAATTGTTTTTTTTTTTTTTTCCTTTGTGTGTGTGTGCTATGAAAAACAAACAGACAAACCAACAGAAAAAAACAAACAAACAAAAAAAAACCCACAAAAATCAGGTCTGCAGAGCAGCAGCTAGCAAGCCATAGTTGCTAAATATCTTTCTGAAAGGAGGGAAACCATCTTCCAGCAGACAGAATGGTATTTCTCAGCAATGCACTTTCATCCACTTGCAAGATATCCAGCTCCCATCCTACCCCACCAACTCAACTTTGGTTTCCCAATATGGAGAAAACTGCTGGTGCTCCCACTGGTAGTGTGAAACATCCCATACAAGCTGCCCTGTGCCTGTCCAGCTCAGCTTACTCAATGCTGAAAGATGTGGGTGAGCTGCTGTGCTCACTGCATTTGAAGGATCCTACCATAAAACAGTGTGAGGTCAGCAATGAATTAAAAAAAAAAAAGTGTGTCTTCGTAGATCTCAGCAGCCTTGTCTCCCAGCTGTATGCGTTACATATGAATGCAGCAGCAAAAACTCCAAGCTCCTCTTTCTATGGATATCTTAATCCCAAAAGAAACTCTCCTGCAACACTGAATTGGTTCGGGCAATCTCCACATGCCTGAGAGGAGCCTTACGATGTGTAAGACTTCTCTCCTTGGAGCATCCCAGGGCAGTTCCTGTCTCCCCTGGCAGCTCCTGGCCATCCTGTTCTGGCACTGCAATCTTTATGGGGAGAGCTGGCACAGCTCCTTTGGCACATCTTGTCCTAAAGTCCAATTAGTGTTGTTTATGCTCAGATAGTAACTGAAAGGATAAAAAAAGTGATGCTTCAGTTGGTCAACAAGAGCGAGGGGATAAATGTAATTAAAATAAATGCAATATATTGTGAGATGCTACCATTTAATTAAAAGTATATGAATTATGCATGTGTCTCTCCTACAGCCTGTAAACGTGGGCTCAAGCAGTTGCTGATACGCTCATTCATGCTAGCACCCCATGCAGCACACGGCTGCTTAATGTCCCTCTCACATTCTGTACAAATCTTTAGGGGTAAATAAGAGCATACATGGGGTGTCTGGACTTATTGCTTTTCCACGTTCTCAGGCAGCCAGGCTTGAACCTCATCCCACGTTGGGAAGATGGAGAACACCTTTTGGGTACCTCATACAATATCAGCCCCCAAAATCATGCCCTTTAGTGGCATACAATGGCCCAAAGGGAAGCAGTAGGGAAGGGACCAGGAGAACAGTAGATAACTCACAGGGCTGAGATATAAGTAAGAATCTCAAAGGAGGAAAGAGCTCAGCACTCACAGCTCCTCAGAGCCAGCACTGCCCCACGTTCCTCAGGGCTGGGCTAAGCTGCCAGCAATCTGATGGCAGGCCCTTTCATTAGTATGGAAGAGCATCCTCCTGTAAACAATCTGCTGTCCTTAGAAGTAAACAGGAAGTCTTTCCCATCAAGGCAGACAGATGCTCTTTGTGGAGCTGCCATGCCCATCACAGCAGAATGCATGCAGGGCTATGCCATCCATCTTCTTCTAAAGGCTGCTTCCCTCTCAGCTCATCTACCAAATGCAGTGACCAAAGTGCCGGGAGAAAAAACAGATCCCATTATTATTAGCAGAAAATGCAACTGCCCATTATGAAATTAAAACAGGAAGTGAAGCATCTGGGGGAGGCAGGGAGGGAGATTTCTCCCCCTAATCACTTAACAGAGGTCTATACATAGAGTTAGAGCTTGCAGTAAATCACGTCTTGTAATTGGCCAGATGTGCAAACTTATGAAACATTAATCCAAATGTTCCTCTCTGGCTGATTTACTGTTGACATGTTCCTCATTTCCATGCCTTACAGAAAAGAGAATGGAAAAGATCTTTCCCTTTTCTTAGCACGCTTTCACAAGTTCTGCCTGTTTCTTCTAGTTAAGCTTTGGCCTGGGTTCAGCAAGGCACTTAACGCTGCACCACATGACTGTCTCTCAGGCCTTGCCCAAAATAGATGGGGAAATTCAAACAGCATCCGACTGCATGTGATGCCAGGACTTCACATCATGAGATTTCTGACTAGGTGCATTTGATCAGCCAGACTCTGCTGTTTTTCTGCATGCTTTCTCACTGATGAAAGGAATAATACATAACAAATCCTTGAAGCTGTGGCCTGCTGTAAGAAAGATAGGTGGTTTGTTTTCTTCCCTTCATGGCTAGGTCGGGATAAACACGTTGGACTGAGCTTGCAGGGCTCAGGAGATGTATGGATCTCATCTCCTGCTGGATGCTGGAAGCAAAATAAAGTTCATATAAAAAAAGAAATAAAGTTCATATAGTGGGATTTCATCTAAAACATCCACATGGAAATGGGATCACTTCAGAAGGACTAGCAATGAACGTACAGGTATCAGTTAGATACTGAACCCAAATAAATGTGACCTCTCTCAAAAAAAGAAGTCCTATTGGCATTTCTACCACGGAAAGACAATGGACAAATGCTGCATCTGCTTCAGAACAGCCCAGTTAGAACTTTCTGGCCAATCTGGAGCAACTGGGCTGTCAACAAGAATTAATATGAGGCAGCCAGCATGAGTACACAACATGACTTATAAGCAGTTAATCTGTTTGGTCTAGAAATTGTGCAAATGTAAACTCTGCTGTTGGTTGATAGAATTTCTATTGGATACGTACCACTGGGATATAAAAAACCAACACAGTGATTCAACTCTTGTTTTCTAGGAGTTGTACTGCAGAAAGCCCAGACATAGCACCAGCAAGGAAAGGGTAAGCAGGTTGCATTAATGTTGAGGTGCTTGAGATGCTTCTGAAGGCACAGGCTTGCAGCTGTCATAGGGTAACTCAGAAAACAGGCTGAAATCCAGTAACGGCAGTCCTACAAAACAAACTTTCCTAGCTTCTGGGCTCATGAGAGGCAAGGAGAGGGCTCTTAAGGAGAGACTCCAAGCCCCTTTCCTTGGAGTCAGGGTATACCCTGTATTTGTCAGACTTCTCGAGCTAAAGAAAGGAATAAATCCTTGCTTCTGCTCTGAACAAACCCTGTCATTCAAAGCTGAGAGAGGTCTTGCTTATCATGATAAAGAAAATTCAAGGCTTGGCACTAACCAGGGAGGGCACAGTGTACTGTAATCAGTGTGGTACAAAAAAATTTGAAGAGAAAACCTAGTGAGAGTCCTGAAACCCTAGGAACCAGAAGGACAGAGTAACTACTCCCACATGAATCAGCACACATGTTCACACCTGGAAGAAACCTAAACAATACCTCAAAGGAATAAACAGCTCCATGTATTTGCTTCGGTGGCTTTCCAAGCTTGCTGGAAAATGCTTTATTCGTAGGCATACCTATACTCTTTAATCAATTGACATCCTTTTCTTTCTGCCCGAAGGATTTACTCTTAGACCGTATTGTTTTGTAAATCACAGAGATGGTTCACTGGAATTGTTAAACTTCACTGAAATTTTATGCACAATGGCTGTGTCTCAAGCAGGATAAACAAGCAAATTGATCAAGGTCTCCTGGAAGCAGAACTATCTGATTCTCATGCAAAGCAGTAAGGTGAAACTGATCAACTGCCCTTCTGAGGAGGTTTACAGTTTGCTGTTTTGCAGAGCTACCATGGTCTGCAAGTACAAAGGCAGAAATGCGCCAGGCAGAAAAGGCAGCCAACTTCTACCTTCAGCATAGGTTCAGGAGAAGAGTTGGGAGAGTTATGGGGATCAGGGAGGGACGGAAAAGTACTTAAGAGAAACTGTCATCCCATTTGTCTTATGCTGTGACCGTGGAAACTACATTTTGCATACTGCTTCTAGTGGGAGAAAGAAAAAAGTCCTGAGAATGTCTTCTATTCCTTAGCTTAGTAAAACACACACAAGACCTTAACCTATAAATGTTCCATGCTCCTGTGTGCATTGGACTTCAAACCTTTTGATGGATGAATAAGACATGAAAATCATCCAGATGAATAAAAGTCCATTTCTTTCCCATATTATCATGCTAGTAAATACCACTGATTCTTATCTGCATCTTTGGCACCTAAATTATACATATATATATATATATACATAAAATAAAATAGCTCACACAGAAGTAGAGACATCTATGGCCTCTTTTGCTACCACTCCACAGCTAGTAAGAATCTAGAATCTTTAGAAATAATAATCATAAATCATAAGCCACAACTTGTGACTCAACGTAACTCTAGCTGTGGTCAAGGCAAAAAAGGGATGCAGCAGGCTGAAAGGAAGCAGCGCACATGTGTACACAAGAGCTGCTAAAATAAATTACTAGAATACTTCCAAATGCACACTGAGGCTGGATGGCACTGGCAGCTCTCTGAGTGAACCAGAGGCATAAGAGCTGGAAGTAGTCTCACTGCAGAGGACAGCACTATGTATGGTTTATTCTGATCTTGGACAGAGATACCATTGGAAAGACTGGTCCTTGCCCTTCTGTGGCACAGTGCTCCTGCTGCATGCTTTGTACTGCTCCTAGGTTTTTGCCTTTGTACAATTAAGCATGTAAGGGCATGGATCTTCTGGAAAATGAATGCAGTAACAAAACAGCTACTTTGTTCATTCACCTTGCAAGACCTGAAAATCCAAATGTTGGCTGAAAGAAGGTCATGAGTGTAGGGGTGGTAAGTGAAAACAGACTGTCCCTCATGACAATTAGACTGGCTTCAGTGAATTAAGAAACCATCCTCCACAATGCATGGAGAAGGCTCGTCTGCTCCTGGGGATAATATCTCTCAGAGAGACTTGCAATACTATTGAAAACTGGAAATTTGAAAAGGATATTGAATACCTGGCAGGAAGGTGGGGCCAACCTAGGGGAGCTCAGCTGCATGCAGTGCACCTGAGTGACTGGAAAGGGAGGAGCCTGGATCCACCCCTTCCCAGACCTCATTTAAGGGTTGGCAGTGGAACTGAGAGAGTTTCCTTAGAAGTCTTTGTGTGCTTGAGGCCTTTCAAGGGTAAGTAGTCTCTTCTTTATCTCTGTACTCCCTGCTGTCATGTTTGAGCAGTTCCTCACTTGCTGTAGTCTGGGATTGTGCTGCTCTGCTGTCATTATTGTGCATTCTATTGTGTTATAGGCCTTAAAGAAAGGGGGGGAAAAAAAAAGTACTGAATTTTCCAGTTCTTCCCTTCTAATGTTCTGTACGATTTTAATATGACATAGCTGTAATGATATTGGTTGGAAAAGATCTCCCAATCTTAATAACCTGAGTTGATTGAAGAATCAGTATCTTTAAGTAGATCAGTAGCTTCTGGTTTCTTATTACTGTGTGGGTTTCTTCCATCCCTCTTATCAAACAGTAGTCAGAGTGTTCAGAGATGCTCATCTTTGAACCAGTGTGTTCACTGCTGGATGAAAGAAAGGAAAAATATGTGGGATACTGACATGAAGGGTTCACTATTCAGATTGTTGTTGTTTCTCTAAGATTTACTGTAATGTCCTGAACCATTATACAAATCAGTGGAAAGACCAAGAACAGAGTCAGTGAGAAGGCAAAAATGCCTTGCCATACCTTGGTCAGAGCTTTACTACTCTGAAGACTGCAGTGATAGTGGAGATGGGCTTTCTTTCCTAAAATTCATGTGAAACTGTCAACTTCAGGAAAGATGTTTCCTAATGTTACTCAGGTTTCTTTTGCACTGCTTTGCCTGCCCTGTCAGGTAAGGGGTTGGGAAAAAGTTATGACACTGTCAGTCAAATTATATTGCTGTACTGCTTACAGCACATCCCTTGTAACTTCCCTTAGCAAAGAAATGGAAATGAGTAAATCTCTTCTCAATTGCCAAAAAGATATTCAGTTTGCTGGAACTGGTGAGATAAGTCTAGGGCATCCTGCAGTTTGTCCCAGCCAAAAGAAAGATTAACCTGCTTTTGTATGGTGGAAAGACTGCTGTCTGCTGTTACATGATCTAGAGTCAGACAAGATCAAAAATACAGGCAACAGTAAGCTGAAAGGCACTGGCGCAAGGCTGAAGGGCACAGTAGGTGACCAAAAGCATGCATCCTGAATGCCCAGGCAGTGTTCTGGCAAGTTATTTTCATCTTTTATTTTTTTTCAGTACTCTTGAAGAGATTCGTAATAAAATGAAAATGAGATTGGGAGAGGAGGAAGGAAGGGAAGTCATTTAAAAGTAAAAATCTTTTGTTAGGGCATTCGGACACAGCTGAGTTATCCAAGCCTTCTGCACCCTAAGGATTTAATCCTGTTATACTTAGCATTTGCGAAGCAGATCGTATGTACCATCTCATTTTGCACTGGGAAAGGAAGCAAGGATTTTAGGATGTTCTTCATTACTGAAACAAACATTACAAATAGCTCTAGGTTTCTGGTGCTGGCCATGTAGAGACCATTATAACCATGTCAGATGGGGCAAGGGAGTTGGTGTAGGGGCTGACAACAGAGGGAGTGACTCACAGTAATTGTATGCAAAAATGCCATATCACAGCAACAAAATCAGATGAGTAATCTGGTAGCTAGCCTTCAGGGAGCTGCCTGGCTGATCTCAGAGATCTAACTGCAGCAAAATGTCAATGTTTTCATACCTCTGACATTTCTTTAGCTTCAAGAGGCAATAGTGAATCCTCCTTGTCTACTTAATAAGAGATGACTATATCAGGAAAAGCAGGTAACTTCTTATCTTAAGAGATAATACTGAAAATAATCTTTTCTTATTGAATTTAAGAGTAACCAGCATAGAAACCTGGCTAATTAACTAAAGCCATCAAGCAATCCTTGAATAGATTTAGTTTCAAGTGAGAGTGAAATAGATTTAATGCCTAGGACTCATCCAAGCAGCTCCGGCAGATCCTGCCTTTTCTGCATCTCCAGAAAGGTTACGTTCAAGGAAAAGTTGTCTGTAATGCACAAAGCAGAATGAGGCAGCACTCAGGGCTTAGTAAGCTTACGACATCTCACAAGAGCGTGTAGGCCAGGTGACTGCTGCCATAAGCTGGCACAGCTCTGTTCTGCTCACAGCCTCATTTCCCTTCTAGGAAATGAGGCAAATAGAGACTGGTGAAAATAAATGTGTCATGACATTTCTGAAGGGCAAAATGAGGAGACTGAGCTGCTTTGAAGTTACTTTCAGTTTTATAGGTAACGATAATGATGCAGGTGTTCCTTCCTTTTAAAAAAAGGCAGATGCTCCTCTGCACACAGATGTACCAGTAGGACTATAAATATACATCATTTTCAGACATCTCCAGGGAGCAGCCTAACTCTTGTAAGAGCTCCAGCAGGCAGCAACCTCAGTATACAGCAGAGGCTGACACTGGAGATTTTCCTGCTCAGCCAGGACAACTGTCCTTTAATCAGCACAAATTTAGTATGGCTACCAAAAGACAGCAATATTTGTTGCTTGAAGAAAAGCACTGTGGGACTGAGGGGAGTATGGAAGAACCTGGGCATATCGGTGGTTGTATGGGACCATTCCACTTCGTCAAGAAGTGCTTGGTTATTCTGCTGCTGCTTTGTTGAGGTAATGGGATATTTGATCACTTTGGCCATTATGAGAGGACAAGATGACCCTTGCCACTGCCCTGCTCAAGACATAATGAAGAACATGAGACACTTCCAAATCTGTTTCTGGGTTTCTGCAGTCTGACAAAAGACACTTTGCCAAAGGTGACCAACCAAGTCCCAGGGCCAAAGCAACGTTGCTGAGTCAGCACATGGCTGTATTATAACTGAAAGGTAGCACTTGATGTATCTGAGGTATTAGCACATGTGCCTGCATCTGTCAGTTTAGTCAGCATTGGCTGGGCAAGGATGATTGAATCAGAGGAGAAATTAGCAAAACTTCTGAGAAATGCAAAGAAATAGGAGCTTGATGAGCAAATGACTCCATAACCCCTTCAGGTCTAGTAACAACAACAATATCTATCCTTGGCAACTCCACAGCTGTCCCACAGAACTGCTTCATGGTCTGAGAGAAATGCTGCTTCACGCTGGCAAAACTCTGTCAGATGGTGATATTTTCTTTGCCTGGGGTTAGGTTTCTTAGCTGGCAGACTGCACCATGTGGGAGGATCAGGCGGGCTTCACGCCTGTCCCATATGCTGCTCTTCCTCTGTAATGACACAGGTTTGCAAGTCTGGTTGAAACTATGTGAACAGCAAAACAGCAACCCTTATCCTGCTGAGAAGTATTTATTTTCAGGTAGATGCCATGCTTATTTGTGAAGTTTTCCTGGTACTGCCAATCTTCAAGGCCTTCTCTGGTCCTGTTTGTTTTCCTCTTGCTCTCTCTATATGTCTACATTGCCCTTGCAACACAAGTCCATCCAGACTTTAGGCACCTCTTCATTTTATGCACCCCACTTTGAAGTGCATTGTCTTCTTCAGCTCCTTTTGAGACCCCAGGAAATTTCAGAGAATAAATATTTGCCTGTCTTCTTATTGCTCACAGTCAGAAATTCAAATATTTGGGAAGCCAAGAGAGTGTGTTTCTACAAAGGTAGAAATAGAAGTGCGCAGTTCACTCCAAATGAAAACGTGAGCAGCAAAATAGGCTAAATTAATCTTTTTCTCAAAGATAGCTTTTAATGAGGCAGGAGTTCTCTGCAAGTTGAAATGTTTTTGCTGTTCTTCTAAAAAATTCAAATAGAAGAATAAATTACATTTTGTATCACTTTCTCTTTAATGTGATTGAATGGGGATGTTTTTAATTAAGACAAATCTCTATGTTGATAGTCTTGATTAAAGGGGCTTTTAAATAGTTTATCTGCCTGGCTACTTTCCTTCCTAAAGCTCTGAAGAGGAAGATATCTTTCATGTTGAATTTAAATGCTTATTATCCCTTTGAACTCTGCCAGTACACTTATTTGAAATATTATTCTTCCCTTCTAGCCTGTGGTGTCAGCTCACCAAGAGGATTTAGTAATGCTACTCTCTGGGGAACACTGCTGGCTTAGCTGAGCCCTGAACAAACAGGTGGGGGTAATATTTCAAAGACTGCTGTGATCTGCTGTCTCATTTCTGTACCAGCCCTGTAATAGGGACTCATGACATCTGTATGGTTCTAGCACCAGAAACAATGGAGCTTTGGTTTTGTCTGTGGGCCTTGTGTTACAATAATGCTAATAGCTTATAAGTAGTGATCTTTGCTCAAGGCATTCCCACTGCGGTTAGCAGGGAGCAGGAGTAATCTGGGGGGAAGGGAGATGGGATGGGCAGGTTCACAGAAAATCACTTTAGATGTGGTACAAATCAATAGAAATGTTTCTTACAAAGCCTCCCAGTATTTTTTTTCTAATGATGGATATCACAAGTGTTTTCTGAGCAACTGGAGTCCTCTTCAGTGTACAGACCAGTGCACAAGTGCACTCGTGTTCTTTCCTTTCTACTCATCTGCAACACATTCCAGGCATCTGCCAATTTCAAGTATGGCAAGAAGCTCACCTGAAGGTTACACAGCTGGGCATGCATGAACTGCAGGCACCTGCATCTACTAGGAAACCAGCATGCTTGCTCACTTGTGCCAGAGAAAGAAATGAATCCAGTCAGTGCTTATGAATGATGCAGTCCTCTGTGGCTGAAACATTGCCCTCCCATCCAACAGCGGAAACTGTTGGGGCAGATGCATAAACAGGAGCTGTCATGAATAAATGGGAATTCTTATTCAGAAGGGCATGAAGCTAAAGTTTCATTTCCTTCTGCAGCACACCTGGGGTCAGAAGCAAGCAGCAGGTGAGCTGCTGGTTGTTGAAGCTATGCACAGTGAGGGGAAGAACTTCTGCCTCCAGTAATCCCAGTAACAAGAAGAGGGTGGGCCTGTGAGGGAGTCTCAGCCAATTCTGAAGAGCAGTTTTGATTTAAGAAGGGCTTACAGGAGCACCAGGCTCTGCTCAGGCCTTCTTCTAGCCTCCTATGAAACCTCCCAGCATGGGGAAGACTGGAAGGGGAGAAGCATGAGGAAATCATGTCTGATGGCAGAGGACAACAGTGAAGGAAAGGGGGGAAATGATGTGAAGGTCAACTGTTCAAACAAAAGAACAAGGAAGCACTGTGAATGTTTGGTCTTGTAATTCTGCCTTGTGCCTTATTAAGCCAGCGGTCATTGACTTAGCCTGTATTGTCCCTGTGTCTCTTGGGCCTGTGGCCAGTTGTATCACTAAATGTTTCATTTGCGACCTTTGAATAGTATTTATTTTCAAAATGAAGTAGGATGGTAGTCTGTATGGGGAAAAAAACAACATCACAGTGCTGTGGAAGTGCTCCCCCATGTCCCTGAAGCTGAAATATCAACACTGCATCCCAAGCCTACACAGGTCTCCTGTAAAATGCTACTGGGTCCCTCCATTAGCACAATTAGAACTATAAAGTAGAATTATCTTCTATTAAGAAGTCGGCCTTTGTTTAGCCATAGTTCTGAAGATCTTTGTGTGTCAAGTTTTTCAAAATGGTTAAATATGCTTTTGACAGTTGCCCCAAAAGTAGAACTCCAAAAAAAAAAAAAAAAAGACAAGATAAAAATAAACACCGATCAACTCTTTCATTTATTGCAAGCTGTCAAAGGGGACAGGTTCAGTGGAAAAATGAATGTGTGACTGTGTCATTAGAAGTTGAGTCACCATACACGCGCAGGTAGCTGGGCGGAGTGGCTGGAATGACTGTTGCTAACCTCAGCTTCAGCATGGCTTGGCTGTCAGGAAAAAGTTTCTCAGAAGCAGGAGTTTCTTGTTTTCTGAAACCTCTTTCCAAACTGGCAATGAAAAGCCAGAATTCTCTGAATAAAGAGAAGTGAAGTATCAAAACTCAATTTTCTGGTGATAAGTCTTTGGATAAGAGCAACCTGTATGTACGTATATGAATATAACAGTCTTTTGCTGTAAGTTTGAGGAAAAAGTTAAGATCAAACAAAAACTCTGGTTCCCTGAAGAGAATTTTCAAAAGACACACTTTTCTTGACATTTGCTAGAAAATACTGTCGATATTGGTACTTTCCTACAAATACAGGTTTTTATAAGTTTGAGGTTTCTTTCATGCTGTGTGGTTGGGCACTGGAGCAGGTTCCCCAGAACACATGCCATGGCACTAAGCTTGCTGGAGTTCAAGAAACATCTGGATAATGCTCTCAGACATATGGTCTGATTTTTTTTTTTTTTTTTGTGTTGTCCTGTGTGGAGCCAGGAGTTGTACTTGATGATCCTTGTGCATCCCTTCCAACTCAGGACATTCTGTGATTTGCTATGGATGGAGAAAGTTGTGCTGCTTTGCAAGCGTGACTGCCACATCTCTCTTGCTCCATTCTAGAGGGAATATAATGGCGTCTGCTCCTTACCTAACACCGTGTTGCTTGCATTCTGCACAGTTTAAGTCATTGCACCTCCTCAGCCTGTCATGCACTGTTCTCTTGGGATTTTTTTTCTTCAGCATGTGGCTGGCACTCGAAAGGACTAATGGCATGCACAAACTCATCTCTCCTGGGGATGTCTAGAAGAAAACTGAGATGGCAGATTTACAGTGTCTACAGATGGCGTCAGCAGCAGACACCAGCTCCTCTGCTTTTTCTGTTTAGTTTCAGGTTTCCGCCTTTCTGCAATAGGTGGAAGGACTTTGTCCCAGCAATACCTGGGGTCAGGGAGGCTGCAGGGTGCTGGCAAGAGAATGCTGCTTCTACCAGTGAGAAGTACTGAGCAAACCTAAGCCTTTTTGCCACCTGCTGCTCCATTTAGTGGGGTGCTGGCATATGCAAATATTTTCAAGGGCATTGGGAGAGCTAAGCACACATGCAGGGAAACAGAATGGCAGAGCGGAAGAATTTTTTTTTTCTCTGAGTACCAGATTGACGTCTGGATTTTTTCCCACTGTTTCCCTTTCCCGCTGATGAACTCTGGTTTCAGTAAATGCTGTAAAGATTATTTTCCTGTCTTAAATCAGCATAGCAACAGCATCAGAACAAAACTCAAAGCATCAAGTTAGCAACATACTGAAAGGGCTTCAGAATTCATCATATGCTGTCATTTATTTGAAGTATAAGGGAGGGAGTTCTGCATGGAGTGCACCTTAGGCTGTTGGCAACCTTTGCTCTGTGCACATGTTGGCTGGCAAATGAAGACAAGTCAGTTAAATACCCATTCTTTAATTAGGTTTATCCCTGTAAGCAAGAAAAACATTGAAGTAACCTGAGGATATGTTACATAGCTGCAAAATAGAAACATGAAGACATAAGTTTATTATTTCACTACAAGAAAGGCACTGAGGTCCTGGAGCGTGTGCAGGGAAGGGCAGTGACACTGTGAAGAGTCTGGAAAACAAGTTTTATGGTGAGAGGCTGAGGGACTGGGATTGTTCAGTCAAGAGAAGAGGAGGCTCAGGGAGACATTACTGATCTCTACAGCGACCACAGACAGGAGGTTGTAGTGAGATGAGATTGCCCTCTTCTCCCAGGTACCCGTGACAGGAAGAGAGGGAATGACCTCAAGGGGGCGGTTTAGGTTGGGTATTAAAAAAGATTTCTTCTCAGAAAGTGCAGTGAGGCATTGGGACAAGCTGCCCAGGGAAGTGGTGGAGTCACTGTCCCTGGAGGTGTTCAAGAAATGTGTGAGTGTGGCACTGAGGCACATGGTTAGTAGGCATGGTAGGATGGGTTGGTGGTTGAACTGGATGATCTCATTTCCAGCCTTAAAGTCTCTGTGATTCTATTATTTATTTCTGGTGTTGCATAAAGACCTAAACAAGAAAATACCAGCCATTTATCCTTCTTTGGTTAGTAGAAGCAAGAGGAGTAACTGGTACTTCTAGATCCTTTCCGAAGGACACAAATTATCTTCTAACAACCCTCGAATGTGATGTGTTTGCCCACACACTGATTGGCTCATGTATTTTATAAAATAGTCCTGTACTCTGATGTCTTTGAGGAAATATCCCATTCTGACCTCTTTGGCACTGCGAGAAGTATAACTGCAATTGGCTAGTTTAAACCAATAACAAGTAAAATATTAAAAATGTCTTTTTTACACCATTTGCAGACATTTCATGCTCTTCAAGGCTCTACTGGTAGCAGACCTTTGGGACAGATCACAGTGAGGTAAATGGCTTTATGCTGGGTTCACTCCTGCATCCAAGGTTCCAGGTCTCCCACACACCTCACGGATGTCAGCACAATCTGCACTGAGGCTTCTGAGAGACTCCATTCGCCTCCTATTCTTTGATACCAAATGTCTTGGCTGCAACTGATTTTCCCCTTGTTTTAAGCAGCAAAAAAGGTGCAGGTCGCTCTGAAGTCAGCAATCACTCTATACCTGTCTCTCTGACTTCTGTATGAGCACAGGTAATGAGCACAGATGTGCCTTTCAATAATGGCATGCAGAGAGTGCTGTTTCAGACAAAAGTGAGGATTTACAATGTAATTTCCTGTCAGTGCTATGCAGTTGGCCCTACTACCTGAGAAAGCCTTTATTTTCCTACTAGTTATATGCAGAGGGCTCTGAATCTTTCCACCCTAAAATCGTTCCTCATCTCTCTGTGTGCGTGTCGTGCTCCCTCTGTTGCTGATGGCTCCCACTAATGCTTTACACACGTTCAGTGGGTGAGCATGGAAAGCAGGCTGGAAGGGACTCTGTAGCTGTTGTACTGCTGCAGACCTGGGGGTCCCGAGTTCGTGGCGGCTCGGGCAGGGTCCCCGTCCTCTCTGAAGGAGGGGGCAGCCCAGCAGCAGCAGCGGCGGGCCCGAGCGGGGGGCAGCGCTCGACCTGCGGTGCCGTGGCGCCCCTCGGCGGCCCGATGCCGCTACTGCCCGCATCCTTCAAAGGGCGACAGAGGCGATTTTTCTCGGGGAAGCCCCAGGCAGGACACGTTGAGGCCGTGATTCCCCCTACGTTACCGAGGCCGGACCCCGGCATCCTTGGGAGAGGACATCCCTGGGTTGTCTGAAGCAGATGTCCCTTCCTGAGGCTTTTGCTGGAACGGGTGCAATGCGAACGTGTTACCCTTGTTTGGAGCTGCTCCAGCTTCCACAGGCAGAAAACAGCAGAGAAACAAACTAAGAGTTCTCTCCTCCTGCCTGCTTACGCCCACTTTGAAGACGAGCGCGTTATCATTATTGTTAATTATTATTTCTTTGACTATTGCTCTTATTTAGGCTCTGAACTATCAGGGGAAGACTGTTCTCCAGCACACAGAACTTCTTAAAAAACTTTTCATGCAGTTCATGCAGTTCTCTGGATGGAGTCTCAGGAGGAAATGTTTTTTTTTTTTTTTTTTTTTTTTTTTTTTTTTTTGTTAATTCTTATTTCTGAGTTCCTAACTAATTAGTATGAAATGACATTGTCACACATGGAATTAATTGAATTCTGCCAGTACTGCTTAAACTCCTTAAAACATTCCTACCTAAATGAGTTCTTTGCTAATACAAGCTGAATTTTCAGCTCTCTGGGCCAATTTTTGCACAATAAGTAAATGTATTTCTGCATGGGGAGGCCTCAGTGCAATGCCCTCTATTGCGAGTTCTAATTAAAGGCTGCTCTGTTTTGGCTCCTTATTAGAATAATGCTATAAATAGCCTTTTGTAGCAAGGACTTTATAAAAATGGGGATATTTTTGCTCCAACACCTCCTGGCGCACATTGTGCCACCATCTGGTAGATCTGGCTTCCAGGGCAGCTCTACCTCCCAGCACTTCATTCATGCTGGGGTGGCATGGAGTGCCAGAGAGGTAAAAAAAAACACAACTTCAGAGAAAAGAAATGACTGCCTGATGTAAACAAGCACGCGCATACACACACACCACACACAAAACCTGCACCGTTTCCATATGCTTTGGGAAGGCTCCGTAGTGCTTGCTGAGGCAAAACTCGTGCTGATTTAGTGTCTAAAACTGCAGGGCTTAGTCTTCAGATTGAGGCATGCTATCCTTTCAAAACAGAACTCAGAGACACTGCTTTTTTCCCACATTAGATTAATCTTACAGAAAGAGTGCTGTTGTGAGCAGTATGGGCTGCAGAGGCATGATGGCCATTGGATCAAGACCAGATATGTAATTCCATGTAGGCAGGAAAAGCAAAGTTTACCAGTGCTAAGCAAAAGATGATCTAATGATCTAAAGCAGTTTTTATTTGGATGGTAACATACTGAGAGTCGGCATTTTCTTGTCTTTTTCCAAAAGATGTGAAGCAGTACCATGCCTCCAAAAGCCTTATACATCCCTTGCCTAGCAGCTTTCTGAAATCCCACACATCTTTTCCTTCGCTAGGTTTCTTTGTTTTTCTAAGATGACCACTGTTTTTCTCACAGAAGATGTTCTTAATTGTCACCCAACATTTTTTCCTTCAACAAAAATCTTGAAAAATCTCTGACTGCAAGATATTCCTAGTATATTTTCTTTCATATCTAAGTCACTAATACTACTACCGTGTTTTGTAGTCATGGGTCGTTAACTACAGCATGGTAGTTCTTCTCAAAGCAATCAAGGTGACTGCTTAATTTCTATAATTTGTATTACTGTTTAATTAAGGGAAACCTAAGATAACTTACTGGCAGGGCAAATACATATACCACATTGAACAAGTTTGTAGTAAGGGTTTGAGGAAACAGCATATGGATTACAAATTCCAGTTGAGATTATTGCAGAGTTATTGCAAGAATGCTGCTATCTCATGAGTTGTTTTATTAGCATTGGTGGATACCTACTGAGTTTTTGACATGTCGACTTGATGGAAATAGGAGCATTAAAGTTTAAGGAGCTTTTCTTGAGGCATAGATATGTTGAGGAAGAAGCTGTAAAAACTTGACCGTATTCTGGTTTTGGGAGCACACCAGAAACAGTAATAAGCTGCCATGAGCTGAGTAAGGAAGCTGAGCCTTTTTAAAGAGGACAATTAAATGGAGAAAA